TAATCAGCGAGTGACCTGAATAAGCAGATTTACGTAATTTCAACCTTTTTAAATCCTGAGATATTGTAAACGTGTTGTTTAAAAAAAAAAAATAATAATAATAATATAAAATAAAAAAATAACAACACCAAAACAAGACTTCTTTGTGTGGCATTTTAGAAGTAAGGAAGTACAATATTGACAAACGTTATGGATAGCAACTTCTTTTATTTCGTGGGAGGACATTTCGATACAGATTCTTGTACTGTTGTCCGCCTTATAAAGTTCCCTCTCTGACTCCTGTATACAGACACAGAGTTTTAAATACGTGTACTACTTTACAAAGTAAGGAACAAAACTATATTTACAAGAACAACATAAATATTGTTTAAACATGCGCTTGGAAGAAGGATGTAAATGCATTTACAGAGGACACACACATACACACACATATATAATATAACCTCTTGCATACTAATGTGGATCAGGTGATAATGATCGCCCAGTCTCATAAAAAACTGTCGTACAAAAGAAAGTACACCTGGTGTTTTGGGATTATTTGAAAAGTGTTGTGATTTTAACTGGCAACTTCGCAATTGGGCACGATATTTGTGGTGTTTTGGCAACATATTAGGAAAGTCTGTGACTTATATATCACTGTAAAAACTCTTTTCAAAACATTTACGTCGCTCTTTGGAAAGTAATTCAAAAGCACCGGGTGTGTACTTTCTTTTGTGCGTCAGATTAGTACCTCTAGGTAGGTTACTGTATGTGGCGATAAATGTACATTAAATATTTGTGGTTGTTATGGTATAAATTTAATTTCATCACTATATCATAACGAATAGTATCATGAGAGAAACATGTTCATAATTTAAATAATGAATATTTATGAATTAAAAAAAGATACTGAAGCAAGATTAAATATTCACATGTTATGAATAAATTAACATATCATTTGAAGAAGGTGGAAACAATGATTAATCTGAAATAAGCGACTATCCGGAGATGAAATATCACAAAGCTGATCCAAACTGTCACGGAGTTATTATGATTTATGCGGGGACATATGATTGATGCACCAATGATGCATGGCATGCACATGCACAGTTTCGTGTTAAACATGTGAATTCTGATGCTTTGACAAAATTAAATAACGATAACAGACGGTGTAGCTGTGTACGAAACAGACAGGCCACGTTGTAATATGTTATCATATTTCATATTTGTGTACGGCTTCACATTATAATGAATACTTTAATTCTCAGACAAATTCATTATTAATAAAATTTATGTCACATATACACCAAATACACTCAACATATGAGACCACATGCTAAACCATATTGGCAAGTAATTGAAGTAATTTTCTCGTGACGAAGTCCACGCGGGCCAGACTCGCGCGGTTGACAGTAAAAGGGAGGTAACTCTAAGTTAACGCGGATCAAAGGCAATGATGACCTTTTATATCTGCTTCATTCCGTCAATCTCATTCCCGACATTAAAAATGGAATTATATTTGTAATCTGCACTCATAAATGAGTTTTCTGTGATAGTGTGTGTCATAAGTAATGGGCATGTGAAACTACCGAGTATGCAATCGGTTCTATAAGGTTATTCCTTACGCTAAACATTTTTCATAAAGAACAATGTCTGCATATATGTTGTTGCATACATGTTTACTATTTAAATCATTTTGCAAACTGACTGACACAATCTGACCATTTATTCTACGATAATATAGGATTCCAAACATTTTTATTTTGAATTTCACCATCCATGTACTGAAATAAGAGGGTTAAAACAACTAAAAAGTCAATATATATACGTAGAAAAACAAATAAAGGAACACAGGAAAATTCAAGCTTTCCTTTATTATTTTCCAGTTTTCGTAACCACAGCGCTATTCAAATCTGGTGAAGAATACTAGAAAATATTAAAGGAACACTTGGATTTTCCTGTTTTCCTTATTTGTTTCTCTACGTATGTATTATATAATATTTTAGTCTTCTAATCAACAGAGACCCGGGTTCGAATCCCCACTTGGGCACAATGTGTGAAGCCCATTTCTGGTGTTCCCGGCCGTGATGTTGCTGGAATATTGCTAAAAGCGGCGTAAAACCAAACTCAGTCAGTCAGTCTAATCGACAGATAGTCTAGTAGGTGTTTTTAAGCCCCTTTCGTCATTCTGTCAAATAAATGGACTAATGTTTAGGCTGTTTGTAAAGTGCCTGGAATATTTGGGCATTTTATAAAAAGGGATTTACACATTGATTGTGTTTCAGCATTTTACACAATGACTGTAGCATATATATGTATATTCATACAGTTATATTAGCTATACACGTAAATAAACTGATAAGAAATACTTTATCAATGTAATCACAATGCATTATACACTCAGTGATACGCTCAAAGGCCATGTTTCTATTAAACGATAAGCCCGGTGAAGATCCGGGTTAGAACTGATCTTCAGTAATCCATGCTTCTCGTAAGAAGCGACTAACTGAATCGTTTGGTCAGGCTCGCTGACTTGGTTGACATATGTCATCGTAACCCAAATGCTGGGATCGATGTTCATGTTGTTGATTACTCGATTATTTACAGACCGCCGCCATATAGCTGGAATATTGCTGAGTGTGGCGTAAAACTAAACTCACTCACTCACACACAACTATAAACGATAAATAACATGCGATGAAATGGGGTTTAACATCGTCAGGACGACGACGAAATGATGATGATGATTATTAAAGGCAAAACAACACCACAACTCTGCTGATATTCATACAAAATGAAGATTTTGTGAGACCCGTGAAGATCCTTGACATAACTGCAGATTATGGTTTGCATAAGATCTTTTTCACATTTCTGTTTAATGGGGTAAGTATTGTGGTGAAAATAGAAATGAAGCCTATGGCGTTATTACAATGCTGAGGGAAATGTTTTTGACGGCAATGTCCCGTTTCTTTCCTGACATTTCTAAATATGGTCTTCACGGTTTCGAACATTCGTTTATACGACATATTCGTTGGGGAAGTGGCGATGTGACAGATAAATTGGGCTCGCTGTAACACAGGACTATAGTAAATGGATTATTGTGTACAACAAACGATGATGCAGGTACCAACCGCCTTTTCTTTGGGCCACATCTCCAATACAACCGAAGCGACCGATGACTTGTCCACCTTCTGTATAATGAAATCAGGCACATCACTTTAAGAAACGTAAAAATTCAAACAAATGTTAGTACCTCATGAATGTACCGTGTGTTTGTTCTTTTTCTCATTAATATATATAGGTGGGAGGAGAGAGTAAGTGAGAAAGGTTTTAAGCCGCGTTTAGCATGACAGTATTCTAGCAATATTACGGCGGGGGACACAAGAGATGTGCTTCACACGTTGACCGTATGGGGAATCGAACCCGGGTCTTCAGCGTGACAAGCGAACGCCTTAACCACAAGGCTACCCCACCGCCTATCGTGCATAAATTTCACAGACACTGTGAGTAGTGGTGTCACTGAAGCGACACTAAATATTTAAGATGAAAAAGTATCCCACCCACACATTATAGGTATTTTTTTATTGAGACTGATTTGGTCCTAATGTCTGATATTAGGATATGTCCATCAAAAATAAGTTTTCGCGTGTATGATAAAAAAATATTTCTTTTAAACTGGACTTACCGAACAGTGATCTAAAAGAAGAAAACTTGCCCTCATAGTTAGCAGTTTCGATATGTTTAATGTCCTTGTTGTTTATTAAATTCATTGCCCTTGTTCTCGAATAAGAGAGTAGGCGAGTTGGGTTTAGGCCACTTTTAGCAATATTCCATCAATGATTAGGGCGGGGGACACCAGAAATGGACCTAGTACATAATGATTGTACCCATATGGGCAATAGAACCCGGGACGCTTAAACCATTGGGCTACATCGTAGGCCCTCTTTATTTGCACTTTCGTCGCACACCCTATCAACCCTACAACATTGGTTAGATGACGTGTGCACAATAGGATTTTTCCATACAACTATACTTATTGCACTAAATGTCAACAATAACTCTAATGTATCGACTTGGACATGTAACTCCATTAAACGAAACGGCGGTATCCGTCGTCCTGGTTCAGAATACTAGACATGGCCAAGATTTTCGAAGCTCTCTCAGCGCTAGGATAGTCGAAAGTTAATGTTAATGAATGGCACTTACGACTATCTTAGCGCTAAGAGAGCTTCGAAAATCTAGGCCCTGGATCTTAAAGTATGCCGAAATGTACCACTAAGCCGAATAACAGTTGTCCAGATCTACTAAGGTTCCGTAAGGCGGTTAAGGGCAACATTTTTATTTTCTGTGTTTCTCATCGCCCGACCGACCTTCTAATTTTAATGCCGACCCCCTAAAAATCCTTTTTCATTCAAACACCGCCAACTCGAACCTAAAACGTACCGCCTCGCCATATAAAATGTTTATCTTTTAATAAGTCGCTGCCACAAGTCCAAAAACGCGAAACTGTAAAAAGAATTACAATATTCAGATCATTTTGTCTTTATTAAGTTTTTTTTTCCCGACCGACCGGCCGATGTTCAGAATTTGGTGGCTACGTGAAACACAAAAAAATGATGCCCTAATGGCGAACAGATTTCTTAAAGTGCTTGTATATGATATTGGCTATCTGGCCAAACGTTGACGTGGCGAACCTTGGTGTAGTGATCAGTACATCCATGAGGGGCAAGTCTCTGTCGACGTTCATCTTACAGTAAAGATGCAGAATGTAGTTGTCTTGCCAGTAGTACCTACTCTCCGGGTACCATATGTCGTCCAAGCACGTTGACCAATCAGGTTTTAGGATTCTGTCACGTGGTCCAAGGTGAATGAGATCCCTATTGCGAAGCATTATAGAATAGGGCACAACCACTGAGTTATACCCCCACAACGAGTCATTAAAAAGTTTGTAAGAGCTCAAATACAGGTCAAGAAATTTAGAATTCTTCTCAGAGAGAATAATGCCATTCCCTAAGGTAGATGGTTGTTCCTCTGACATGACGAAACTGTGTGTTCGTAACGGGTCAAGACGGTTAATTACAAAGACATCGATGTCGAGATAAATACCTCCGTAGTTCTTGAGAATTTCCAACCTGGCGACGTCCGATTGATGCTCAACCACGCTGATTGGTCGCCCGAAGATGGAGGTAGGTGGCGTTGTGCGCACAAGGGTCAAGTTGACTGCGAAGGTCAAAGGTCTGCCACCATGTCCCTTTTGGTAATTGGTTATAATGGAAGTATATGCGGTCTGGTTTCTGGTTAATGGAGGCACTGTAGATACATAGGAACATATACATATGAAACTGTGTTTCCTTCCCAAACCAAATGTAATGGATGACGTTGGGTACGCGATATGTTTCTTCTGTAAAGGCTTTCGTCTCTCCAAATAATACATACCGGGCCACATCGGCAATACAACCTGTCATTGAAGCCACCGATGATTTGTTCACCTTCTGTATTATGAAATCAGGACTCGGCACTTGAACAAACGTAGAATTCAAACAAGAACTGATTCCCTTCCTGTTCACGTCATGTATAACTTGTGGACAGATAACTGCATAATAACGCCCATTCACCACCGCCATTACGACGTTTGGACACACCCTGCGTTTTTGTTTCTGAAACTCCTCTTTTGTTAAAAACTGGAATCTGTGACCAAAGTCTATTGTGACATTTGGACCCGAACTCTTGGTGCCAAGCCTCAAGTTATACCCAAGACGGAACAGATCTACGCCTTCTGTGAGAATAACATCAAAATGAATAAGGAAACCGCCATGCTTGAGAAGTATCTTACATTCCACACAACTGTCACGCAACACTGATGTATCTGTTTTGATGAACGTAAACGACGGTAGTTTCATGACGTCATCCCATCGTGGTCCCGACGGGGTAATGGTGCTATAGAAACGTATTTCATCGGGCTTTGCAAAATGGTAAACGCTTTTAATACTCAACAGTTCCATCATGTTTAAATCTCTAACTGTACTCTCGTCCCACAGGTAAAGAAACACGTTTGGCACGGATTGGGCAACTTTGGCCGTAGATTCGAACAAGACCTTCCTGCCTATGGTAGCCAACTGAGTTGATGACTTCAGTATGTTGTCCAGTGTTGGTGGTGGGTTATAGGCCGTATAGGTGACGTCTATACTGACCAGAGTTCTATTTCTCAACAGATGGTCAGCAGCTGGCGACTGCATTTCATTCACGCAGCACATCCCGGAGTCAGCCTGCTGATGGCGGAGAACGTTCCTCTTCTCAACAAGTCCTATCAATTTGTTATAGTCAATTTGACCTTTCTTGAAAGCATCATCAATTAGGTCAACTATATCTTTTAGAGACGACGCTTTTGACAGGTACAACATGCCTACTTTGTTTTTATTAACGTAAGCAAGCAGATCATATCGTTGTAAGTCATTCAGATTCTTCAAAAACACGATGTTTGGTGTAACAATGACATCGCCGTGGTTCCATACCATATCTCTCATGGTGGGCGTATATCGGGAATAATTCCCGGCGTTTATTAGGATTAGTTTTCTGTTTGGGATTATCTGAAGGGTTCGTCTCCACCATGGCGTGTTCATGGGCAACACGTGACAATGGAACATTACTTTGCACGGGTTCATGTTCTTCATTACACTCCATACAGACAGAAAATTCTGCATTTCAAAACGGGAATTATCCTGACCAATGAGGAAGTGGACAGTCAGGTTTTGATAGGCATGTGGTTTATTATTGTACTTGATTAATTCATCGGGGGATTTCTTTTGATGAATGATGCTCCATGAATTGCTTCCATATACATCCAGATGTAGTCTTTCAGTTTCAGAATTCAGATCGATAGGACCTTTCCTTCCATGCATGCCTGTGTATGGTGCACCGTTCTTGCCATGTAGTTCACTGTTAGTATCACGTGCCCGATTGTGTTTCCCAGTGGGCGGTGACTGCAGCAGCCTGACCAGGTTAGCTACAGCCAGAAGTGTACAGCAGCCCAGCAGGGCCATCAAAAACATGCGACGTCTTGCAGACCATCTAAACAGCCTCTTCCCCGCCATCCTACCAACAGATGCAAAACATCATCTTTAATATAAAATCACTTCTGCTTTGTGTCGGGAAAGGACTTACCGTGTGTTATATAACAGATGATCATAGACAGAGAGATGTCAGATTAAGGTTTGTAATCGAGATAGATATCGGATGTATCAAGAACATATTTTTCTTTAGAATTTCATGAATATAAATGTTGGTTAACTCTGGGAACATAGGTGAACCGATCATATTTTCGCAGAACATTGAGATGAAACGCCAAGGAATTAATCAGAGCCACTACTATATAGTATATACAGCAATACTCCACCGTGACGATGATACTGACAGAAGAGTACGAGCTAATACATGACGCACCAAGGAAATAAGCAGTGCCATGTTTGGCACAGTACTACCTTCTTTGTCCTTTAAAAAGTGTTAATTCCAAATTGATTATTACATCTTCATATACCGGAAAATATATTTATAAAACTTACATGAAACGCAGTTATGCCTCCTCACACCATCCCTCTGCTAAAAGTAATGTCGTCCACGTCGACGTCCACTTCCACGTCCACGTCCACAGTTACGTAACATATTATGCTTGGTTACCCAACCTACAGTAGTAACACAGCGTTAGTGACAAATTGCAATCGTCCCATAACGTGGTTCATGGCGATATTGACTACTATCTCTATATCATTTATAAACCACTGCGACGAGTTAATACAAGGTAGGACTTGATAAGAGCAGAGACCATATAATAGATTATATGGTCTCTGATAAGAGAGGGTGCATAGTGTAAGTACCTTCACGAACTGCCCTCAGGGTCAGGACAACGCATGTTTGTGTCCGAATCAATACATTAACTGTATTAACCTTGATATGACAGATAATACTATCGTTGTTAAGCATGTGCCTGACGTTGTACATCCGCTGTCACGAGGTCGTGGTCTTGTTTATATGACAAAATGATAAATTTGACGGTGCTGCGATATGCAATATCACTTCCACTTGTTTGAAATGAAAATTCAGATGCCACGTCAGTTTTATCATAGAAGGTTATCTGAAGGTCGGAGATGAACTAAGTGTAATGATAACAATATATTTCGATCGAATCCTGGCACTGTCAAGCGAGGTAGCTCCGACAGTTCTCGACATATTAGGATAAATGACAAGTATAAATACAACAATAAGCCCGGAAACACGGGAGTACATTAAGAGTATACATGGAGGTCACGCTGAAGGTTACGCCACACGTTACGTTGCACATTGAGTACTTCCTTGTGGCATTTGGCCTACAGTCTTATGCAAAAGCTACCGACGGTGCGAAACAGTACTGTATTTTGTGAACACCTGGTGTGATTAATACTGATTAGTCATTAGTGATAGTTTCAAATCATTTTCATCTCCATTAATTTGCTCTCTACGTCCACGTGATTTTTTTTCGACAGATTACCTAGAGCGTTTCTTGCGTAGACGTAAACAAATTCTAACTGCAATTTTAACTGCTAATATCAAGAGACGCGGATTAGTAACTTAATGCCTATTTTATGATATCACAAGTTATATTTCTACATAGAATAACACTGACAACTTAATAATGTAGAGAACATTCTATTCGTTACGCATGTTGACACAGCGTACATGAAACGGTTACTCGTCAAGAGTTCTAAACAATTTGCCTCACTAAAGGACGATCTAACAGCAATGGACCCATGAAGATCCGGGTTAGAATTGGTCTTCAGTAGCCCATGCTTGTAGGAGGCGCCTAACGTGATCGGGTGGTCAGATTCGCTGACTTGGTTGACACATGTCATCGTATCCCAATTGCGTAGATCAATGCTCATGCTGTTGATCACCGGATTGTCTGGTGCAGACTGAATTATTTTCAGATCACCGTCATATAGCTGAAATATTGCTGAGTGCAGCGTTAAACTTTCAGCACAAAACTAACCAAGACCGACCAGCGCCGCTTGCGACCAGCAAAGGTTGATAGGTAGGATTTCTAACTCAGAATTCACAAGGGATAGGACTCTGCAACAAGGTCTGACTGTCACTGGACAGATTGTTCTACTGATTCAGAAAAAATACAATAGCAGTGTCTGCAGCTGAATAAAGTGGTTAACTACTCATGACGATGTGGGTCTACAGCAGCTCATGCTGAGGTTACTAACGGGATAGGGTGGTCAGGGTCGCTGACTTGGCTGATGCATGTCATCGTATCCCAATTGAGCAGATCGATGCTCCTAAGCCCAGTCACTGGATTGTTTAGTCCAAACACGATTTCTTACAGACAGCTAGTCGTATAGGTAGTACATTGCTGCGTGCGGTGTGAACCAGCAAGCCAAGAAACATAGTGGGTATCAGTTATATTTCATGTTGTTTACCTTTCTGCCCTTGAAAGTCTGTCTCTGATATCTTCCCTAGACTCAAAAATGACTTTCTTACCGAGGAGGTGATTGCCGACTTTTTGGCGAAGATGACGAACGTTGTTGACATTCAAGTGTTCATCACCAAACAGGAACTTATCAATGAAATTATTCACGTCTTACGGAAATCCACCCGTTCACAAATATTTCAGACCCACCCTGACACACCATCACCATTGAAGTCTTACTGAACGGATCACAACATAGCAACTACTTGTTGTTTTATTAAACATGAATGGAAAAGGATCGGTCTAGAAAACTCTTTGTTTCACGAGTTCTCATCATATATATATATATATTCAGTTGCTTTATTACCCCGAGACAGCATCAGGTAACTTGATGCCATGCCCAGCTGAGACGATAAATCTCATTATATTGACATATCTAATTGCGTTCGTTGTGCTGAATGGTTCATGAGCCCACTTTCTCAGCCAAGACGCAATAGCCATGTATTTTATTGGCGTCAGCTGCATCAGGATCGTCTACCCCTTCTATCTTGAGTTCCTTGACCTTTAACCCCGCATCTGTCAAGGCTGTCGTCAACTGACCTGGGCTCAAGGCAAGGCTATGGAAGTTTTGCCCATCAACTGTGTAGCAGTGCTCAAAACACGAACCCCGCATCACAAGATGGCCGCCATCCCGGAGAAGAGATGCGACATTCAGCACACTTCGTCTGTAGGTGTCAATGTCCCGAGATGCTGTCTCGAGACAATAGCTGCTGAATACACAGTCGAAAAACCCCGTGTAAGAAGGCCCGAGAGGTTCCGACTGTAACACATCACACTGAACGACGTGCTTGATGTAGGATTTCAGCGACGGCAGTCGAGTGGATTCGAAGGCTGTACTGGAAGTAGACAACAGCGCGGTCAGATGTTTGGAGTGAGGAAAGCAACTTATACAGCAAGCTGAAGATATGAACATAAAACATCTACAATGACTTACGAGAAAAGCAAAGGTTTAATTACACATTGTGGCGAGTGGATTTTCAACTCATAGTTGAACAGTATGGAACAGGAAACGTTTGTACTAAAGTTAAACAAGATTTGTGCTCTGGGACTGGCTTTCAGCGTGCAATATCATAGAACATTCAGGAATATGGAGACTATCTCTAGGATTTTAGAAATAGCACAAGTCGATGAAGAGTAGGCGAGTGTATGGTTTTACGCCGCTTTTAGCAATATTCCAGCAATATCACTGCGGGGGACACCAACATGGGATGAACACATTGCCCCTATGTTGGGTATCGAACACGGGTCTTCGGCGCGACGAGCGGACACTTTAACCACTTGGCTACCCCATCGGCCCCGTTGAAGAAAAACAGTGAAGATTCTCGATTCTTACTTACTCTAGTGAGAATTGTTTGACGTAGTACTGGCACACGTGGCTCCAGCTGAAGTTGACGTCATCACCACGTACCCATCCCTTAATGACTTCAAGATTGGCCGGCGAGAAGTCCGCCATGACGATATGGGTGAAGTGGTCAGGGGCGCCAATCATGCTGCTGAGGTTAGGACCACAACCAAGATCCAGTAACTTCGTCCCCGACATGGCCTCTAGGATTATAGTAAATTATTTGTCTTTATTATTAGTGATATTGCTGAAGGTGGGAGAATCATAGAAGAGCAAATAGGAGCAAATAGTTCAGTACAGATTCAAACAGTTTCACAAAATATACTGAACGCTATTTGTTTTTTGTTCACTCATAAGCGCCATAGCTATTACAAATACAATTGTTTATTAGCGTGTCAACAGTTATACAAACATCCAGAAAATCTAGACAGATAACCCACCCATAGAATAACATACTCCAACTTTGACCTATGGGACACTGTTAGTGCCATAACACATACACATCATATCAGTAGTACAATATGAAAACACATACAGCCATACAACGTACTAGCGTGTAAATACCATATACATCATAACTATAACCACACATACATACAACCACAACCATACATACAACCATACATACAATCATACATACATACAACCATACATACAACCATACATACAACCATACATACAACCATACATGCAACCATGCAACCATACATACAACCATACATACATACATACATACATACATACAACCATACATACAACCATACATACAACCATACATGCAACCATACATGCAACCATACATAGAACCATACATACAACCATACATACAACCATACATGCAACCATACATACAACCATACATGCAACCATACATGCAACCATACATACAACCATACATACAACCATACATAGAACCATACATTCAACCATACATGCAACCATACATGCAACCATACATACAACCATACATGCAACCATACATGCAACCATACATACAACCATACATACAACCATACATGCAACCATACATGCAATCATACATGCAACCATACATAGAACCATACATTCAACCATACATACAACCATACATGCAACCATACATACAACCATACATACAACCATACATGCAACCATACATGCAACCATACATGCAACCATACATGCAACCATACATACAACCATACATACAACCATACATAGAACCATACATTCAACCATACATAGAACCATACATACAACCATACATACAACAATACATACAACCATACATACAACCATACATAGAACCATACATTCAACCATACATACAACCATACATACAACCATACATGCAACCATACACACAACCATACATACAACCATACATAGAACCATACATAGAACCATACATTCAACCATACAAAGAACCATACATGCAACCATACATACAACCATACATGCAACCATACATACAACCATACATGCAGCCATACATGCAACCATACATACAACGATACATTCAACCATACATGCAACCATACATGCAACCATACATACAACCATACATTCAACCATACATAGAACCATACATACAACCATACATACAACCATACATACAACCATACATACAACCATACATAGAACCATACATGCAACCATACATACAACCATACATACAACCATATATATATAAAGAAAGTGATGAGAATACCGAGCGTACAGTAGTACATATATAAGAAGAAGTTTCTGAAATAATCACACGACACGGATCTTCTCCAACATGTTTCACTTTTATCTTCAGGGAGAAGTGACTACAGTTAAACGGATTATGTTATGACGTCAAACGCAATGTGTCTGAATTATACTTGTTTTCATTGTGCTACTAGTACTGTCAATATAAAGCCGCCAATGTGACGTCATGGCAACGCCGCGTCACAACATTTGTATACAGTTGCATTGTGACGTCATGACAAATTGACGTCATAACATAATCCGTTTAACTGTAATCACTTCTCCTGAAGATAAAAGTGAAACATGTTGAGAAGATCCGTGTCGTGTGATTATTTCAGAAACTTCTTCTTATATATATATATATATATATATATATATATATATATATATATATATAAGTATATATATTTATATACACACACACACATATATATATATATATATATTCATTTACAGTCATACACACTTACATACACACACAACCATCCACACACACATGGACACACACATACTTACATACACATACATACATAGCAACATACAACCACACAGCCATACATACATAAATACATACATACATACATACATACATACATACATACATACATACATACATACATACATACATACATACATACATACATACATACATACATACATACATACATACAGTATAGTACCTGTCAGTCCAGCCATCCATCCATCCATGTACATATATACATACATACACACCGTACATACATGTTCACTGTACTAAGACTGTGCGCTGACATACAAACATACATACATACATACATACATACATACATACATACATACATACATACATACATACATACATACATACATACATACATACATACATACATACATACATACATACATACATACATACAAACATACATACACACATACATACAACCATCTATCTATCAGTCCATCCATCCATCATCCATCCATCCATGTACATATATACATACATACATACACACACACACACACACACACACACATAACACTGTACAGACATGTACACTGTACTAAGACTGTGCACTGACAAACATTCAACCATACACAATTTGTACATCAATAAAAAATAGGTACACTAAAAGTGACTGATAATGGAAGCATATTACTAAGTAAACATTTTTCTTCTTAAAAACATATTAAAAACTATAGCTATATTAATATCCATATTCTGCATTAAATAGATTAATATGCCATTGGGATCCAAATGATCAAATTCAGGCACTTCTTTGGATAATTGAGAGAGAAGTTCATACCTAATGTCACTGTAGAACGGATAACATGTGACAAAATGTTTCTCGCCCCCTACACACAGTGTGGCATAGTTTACAGTACCGTTCATCCACTGGGATTGGAGGGGAGCTAAATCTGCCCGTTTCTAAGGCTAGTTTAAGAGATCCACACCTGGGAGATGCTACAACTGATCTTAGTGATCGTGGCAGTGATACGTAGGTTTCCGTACACAAATCATGTTTAAACAACCAGTGTGTCCTTAATTTAGGTAGATTATTTACTTCAGTTCTCCAGTTCAGTTTGTCACTATTTGACAGATTTCCTCTAATATTGTTGATGATCCAGAATGTGCTCTGCTTTCATAGTGTCAGCACATCTATTAGGTTAAGTTCCTCTAATATTTTCACTACTTTCCTTTCCCAGGATTTTCCTCTAGTTTTAGACCACTGGTGGATAGCATTATTGAGCCTATTTGCTTCCATCCGTTCTAGCCTGCACCACAAACGAGCTACCTCAATGTAGACTCTGTACTGGGGGTTTAGCCACCCCATGTCGCCTCGCACTGCCGGATTAGCTGAATTCTTGCTGACTCCCAGAAACAATCTACATGCTCTAATTTGAATCACATACATTTCCTTATACTTGTTGGTATCCCAGATCCCAGAGCAGTAACTCAGCACAGGATAAACAATATGGTCGTACAGCTGAGTAAACACTCTGTAGTCCATGTCGCCGGACCGGTAGTACTTGTCCATCACTTACCCCACAGCTCGCGTTGCAGACTTTATGAGTTGTTTCACTGCATAACGTAAATCACAATGTTCTGTAAACCATAAACCTAGATATCTGTAGGAGCCAGTATATTCCAATTCATCTTCTCCAATATGAAACTTGTGCTCACATTGCTTTACAGATGGGGGTCTGAAGTGCATAACTTTGGTTTTTGACAGATCAATACAGAGTCTCCATTTAAGCGTCCAATTATGAAAGATATTCAATAGATGTTGCAGAGAGTTTCTATCAGGGGATAGTATCACAATGTCATCTGCATATAGCAATACTGATATAGTTGTTTCACCATTAATGCTCACGCCACAGTTCATTTATGTAAATTGCAAATAATGTCGGCGATAATATACATCCCTGTTTCACACCTGCTGTAACGGCAAATGAGTCAGTATTATAGGTATTCAGTTTGACATTACAGGTAACATTTTCATATAAAGATCGGATAGCATGGATCATCTTTCCACTCACACCACACTTCAGTAGTTTAAACCAGAGGAGATCTCTGTTGATGGAATCAAACTCATTTGTGAAGTCCACGAAGCAGGCAATGTTTGCTTTCTGCTATTTTTCTGTTGTTGACAAGGCTATAGAGGCTATGTATATGATCGACACAGGCACGTTTGCTTCGGAATCCATTCTGTTCATGAACAAGGGTGTTATTACTTTCAAGAAATGCAATTAGTCTTGTATTAAAAACATCAGCATATATTTTGGAGCATACTGATAATAGTGTGATAGGTCTTTAGTTCATGGGGTCTCTTACATCTGCATCAGTAGTGTTCTTTGGGATTTGTTTTATTGTTCCATGGTTCCACATACTTGGTACTGTACCGGATTCAAAGAATTTGTGAATGATTCTTGTTAACAGTTCAACAGATACTGCATTACGAAGCACCTCAGCTGGTACTAACTGGTCTGTTTACTGAAGGATATACAGTAGTTTCACTTGATAACTGTTGATCATCAGAGCTGTTTTGGGATATTGTTTAGGTGTTCAGAGTCATATCGGTTATCACAATCTAGATCAGAGTTAAACTTGGAATATTTTTCTCTCCATATGTATATAATAATGTCTCAGTGTCTCTTGTTATTTCTATCTCTTAATGATTATCTCTTGTGGTATAGCTTGTTTTCTACAATTTGATGACCCAATCTTTCCAATCTTCTTCCAGAAATCACACTTATTCTGCGTCCCTATATGACACATGGGTAAAGTCATTGAAGCCCAAGCTGCCATTAAGCATGCACATATTGCTATCAGTTAAGAAGTCTATGAGTAGGTCACCATGGTTATTTTCAGTTTCATCAATCACTTCTCGGGGATGGATGTCGTCAACACCAGCAATAAAATCGTCCTTATACCCACAGCAAGCACTGAAATCCCCACAGATATATAGTCAGCCTAGGTTCTGATAACGATATTCTTGTTCGTGGAGAAC